TTTTATCATATCATGCAATACTTCAAATTCATTTTAGAATTAAATTCTAATAAATAAATAAAAACTGCAAAATACTTCAAATTAAATATTTTAATTGAAGAAAATTTATAGGTTTTAAACTAAAGTCTAAAATAAAAACAAAACTGTGATAGTTCAAAATAAAATTCAATGCTTATTTTGTAATGTACTTTATTTTATTTTATTAATTATTAGATTTTTTTATATCGTAAATATTTTCCTTTTTTTTATAGAAAAAGATCACTTAAGCAACAAAAAATTTTAAATCTAAACTACTAACAGTGAGCAGTTTAAAAATTCACGTTTTCCGCCATTTTATGAATTTCTCAAGTTGAAATAACATTGCATTTAAATTAGGGAGGGATGTAACGAGTAGTAGGCCATTCTGTGAAAAATTCAATTGGTTGAATGATCAGTCAAATATTCGGCAGAATATTTTTCAGAAATGTACTTTTCTAAGTTTTTTTTTATTTTTGAATTTTTATGGATATTACTATTTTTTTAAAAATTATAATCAGACAAGTCAATTTTGTCATTTTTTCGATACTTTGAGAATTGAGAAGGATTTTTTTCCATTTTTGCTGCTTTTATTATAACCCAGCATTTTAACAGAACGTCTCATACTATTAATTTATTATCATTCTTTCCCTGTACTGTAATATAAATAACCAGTAACATAGAAAAGTGTGATTTTCAGTATTAAAGTTTTGTTTCAGGAACTAAGAAAAATTTGTTTTTTTCGGTTTTTCTTTTTTTAGGCATTTTTATTATGACTCAGCATTTTTTTAAAAATAAAGTTTATTTTATAGCAATTTTTTTTCTTCTAAAATTATGGCAATGAGAAAATTTTAAATTGAGATTTTCGGCATACGTTTTTCATTTTAAAAATTAAGAACGTTTTTTCTCTTTAAATAAAAAAAAAAACTTTTTTTAGACGTTTTTATTAAAACGCAGTAATTTTTAATAGCATATCTGATGATTTAATCTTTTTCCTTGGCTTTTTCTGGTAATTGAAAAACTGAGATGTTCAGCTTTAAAAAAAAAAATTTCAAAAATTAAGATTGATTTTTATGTTCTCTGTTTCGCTTTTCGACATTTTCAAAACCGTTCTTGATTGACGTTCGTCTTGATTGACAAAAACGTTCTTTTTAGAGTTAATTTGTGAATACGTTTTTCCAGGAAATATTATTCTGAGCATTAAAATTTTAGTTTCAGTGTTACTATGCTGCTAAAAGATTTTGCTATTTGGCCCCAAGTGTACGGCGTTCAGTTTCAATTTTTTCTTCTTTCTTTTTGCCCAATATTTGGTTTTTGACCAAATCACAATTCATTACCTCATTCGACCAAATCATATTCGTTGCAGAAATAAAAACGAAGGAAAAATAACTAGGATTTACGATAAAACTGTACCGAAATACCGTATCAAAAAGTGATTATTTAATTGCGCGATTAACAATCACGCGTCGTAATAACATCATAGTTAAATAACGGGATCGTCAAAATCATGTGGAAAAGTATAGAAATAATTGGGGAAAAATATATTTATGCTGAACTTAGCACGAATAAAGCGTGTCAAATGCATGATTTAAAATTTGCATGTCAGACTAGAATAATTGGAATTTTTAATAATACGTGGAAACGCATAGCAATAACTGTCTAAAAAAATTTTTGAAAAAAAAGAAAGAATTGTAAAAAAAAAAAAAAAGATAAAAAATCACTTAGATTTAAGATGAAATCGTCACAAATAAAGTGCACAAAAAGTGATAATTTAAATTTGCGATCTGAAACTCACGCCGTAATAAAAATTCGGGATTTTCGTAGAAATCACGTAGAAAAGCGGAAATAACTCTTAAAAAAAAATCATTTATATTTACTATAAAATCGGCTTAAAGAAAGCGCGTTAAACGTACATTTACTAAAGAATCTGTTAAAATTGATTGTGTCAAAACGTGATGACTTAAAAGTGCGAATAAAAATTGCCATTTTTTAAATTTTTTTTGTTGTGTTTAGAAGCTTTCGCGGGCCGCACTTCAGTAGTCCAAGGGCCGCAGGTTTTGCACCCCTACATTAAAGGTTATGTTAAACATCATAAACCACCCACTGGGAAAGTAGGGATTGAATTTCAGGTATAAAGCACTGTTGTGAGAGGAGAAATTTTTCACTTGACTAGCCACAACTAAAAGTCTTATAATTATAAACGGAAAACTTATACGTCAGATTTTAGATAAACAAAATTAGCCAATAATTGTTAAAATCTAAATCAATAAATGGTCAAAGGATTTCAATTAAAATACTATTTTTCTTCTCTTTTTCAACGTTAGCATCGGTTTATTACAATCGGTGATTTATGATTTAACAAGGTTTATTGAAGCTCTGGCACAAAGGAAAATAAAAAAGCCTCAATTTAAATGCCCTCCACTTGAAGAAAAGTGATAATTTTAAATATCATCTAGCCATTAAGAATTATCTGGGCTTTAGAACGGACAATTAACTTTAATAATTCAAAAGTTATTTAATTTTCCCCCATAGATGAAAATTATCGAATTCACTTTCTTATTCTCATATTTCGCAAATTTTCATGAGCACAGAAGATGCAGCTTTGGAGTAATATTTTAAAAACTAGACCACTAACACTTCTCATCTTCACCAAACTGCGGCTTTATTCCATAATGACGTTTTGCACCATTTTCAGAATAGTCATAGACAGCGCTGGCTTTAGATAAGTTATAAACCTGTCCTGTCAGTCATGAGTAACTGTAGCAAACAAACTCACAGTAGTTATGAAAATAGCATATTATTTATCATTCTTCAAAAAGCATCATTCCATAAGACAGGGTTCTTCAAAAAACAGCCTTCATGGTTTAAAAAAGAAAGAGAAATGGTGTTATTTCTGAAAGCAGACAATGATATTTCTAAATATTTCAAGAGATTTGACATAAAACCTTTTCTAACAGAGTGAAAAAGCTGTTTTTACAAAACAACGGTTTGCAAAAGCAACTATGTAATGCATGCATATAGTTGCATTTTAAAATGACTAATAAAATATTAAGAAAATGATTTTTGTTTTTCTTCAAACCTACTAATAAAACATTTTTAACCAAGTTAATTCTCAAATAACTTTTTTATGTATTAGGAATTTTCCAGAATTCTGCTTTATACAGAAATATTTTATTGGAAGTTCTGGTGTTAAGAACTTAAGTTAAAATAATAAATTAATCGAATTCAATTTTCCAGAAAAAAATTTGGAAACTATATTTCTTTAATATTAATTGTCTAAAAATAAATTGTATTTTCTAATACAAGATTCTTTGCTTCAGATTATGAGTTTCCTCTTTAAATTCTTGTACTGTTTTTTTTTTCCATCTTAGTCATTAAAAGTTATTTTCCACATTATAATTAAATAAAAGGACTAAGTTGTACCAGCTACATTTGTTAATAAATGCAGTGAAAGTTTCTTGGACTTATTTAGTTACTAATCTTCATCCATATTTTATTTCTTAATGAGGAATCAGATGTTAATACTGATATATAATTTCATGATTTAGGACAGCAGATCCAAATTCTTTTTGGATGCAGAACCCAAAACAATCAATTGTCTTTGGGCTGAACTCTGATATTTTAAATTAAGCACATTCAGACAATTGTGAACGAATCAACCAATACAAGAAAACTTTGTTTCAAAAACGTTTAAAGAGAGGAATGAAAGCCGTGGTGGTTCTATTTAATGAACCACACAGCTTCAAGGAGTTTCCTGGTCTTCTGGGCTAGGATCAAAATTACGAGGCTACAGAGATTGATAGTTGTAAACTTATAATCGAGTCAGTTGTCAAATGCCAATTATAAAGTAAAATTAAACTAGGAGATAAGAGCTTTTGTCTCACAATGGGCTGATCGCTATGAATTCCGCACCGGCTCGCGCAGACCAGTGCTGATGTAAAAATATCCTCAGTGGGTTAGTATCCTTGCAATAAGATTAATAGTGGGAGGCTTTTTTTCTCCATGTAACACAAATGCAGGTTAGTCCCATCAGAAAGTCCTCCACGAAGGCAAAATTTTTCCCAATACTTGATTCTGGACGGAATTCAAACTTACAAGGTTATATCGTTGAACAACATTGGGTCGGTTGTTTAACAACGGTTATTTATATAAAAAAAAGAGGAATGAAAATTTCTCATCATTTTGTCATTAATTATCTAAAATTAAGATTTACGTCCAACAGTTCAATTTGCAATCCAGGAGCTGAATCTAGTCTAATAACGAATTTGCTTTTGGTTTATATGCATAAGCTGAAAATAAATATAAAAAGTTGAACTATGGGTTTTGTTCAAATGAAAACTAAAAAGAAGTACTGTAAACATTGAAAACAGTACTTATGGAAACATTTATTTATGAATTTGAATTTAGATAAATAATTTTGATTTAAAAAGCGTAATGGAAAATGCTAATGCAATTTTCTATATTATATCCTTTCATAAACATTCTTACTAGACCCAGTTTGATTGTTACACTTAAAACAGACTAATCAGAATCTCAATTTCTAAGCGTAACTTTCATTTTAATGAAAAAGTTAGAATTAATATACAGTCAGAAAATATTTTGTATTCTAATTAAAAGTTTGTTTTTAAATTCTACATAAAATTGCTTATTTATAACAAAAAGACAATCGAATATCCCCACTCTACTCTAAAAATTAAACTTTTTCCATTACATCAGAACACACACTTTAGGAATTGCTACAATTTCTTTTTTTTTTTACGTGAGTAAATAAACTATTAGGTGAAAAATGGTCTGGAAACCTTCGGTGAATATGAAATAAGGAAATGTTAAATAAATATTAATAATGGATATTACACATTTTCCAACTTACATTGAGCATTAAAAAAAAAATAGAACTTTAAAAAGTTGACGTGTGTTAATAAATTTACTCATCTTTATGGCAATTAGACTTTTGTGAGAAAACAAATTAGGAAAAACACAAAGAGTTAGTGTGAAAATGTATTTAATTCTTATACGATGGCAAGCGATATTTCTGAAAACATATAGATCCATATCAAATTTTGTTTTGCACCCATTCAATACATATATTCATTCATAGTTCAGACTTATTTACATAACAATCCAAATTAGCACTAGGTTATTATATAAATAACACTTCAGAGCCAAATCAGTTATAATCAAAGTAGGATGCGAATTCCTAAACAAATTTTCGAATAAATTTGTAATGAAGAACTTGCACTTTAAAAAAAACTTGGTTAACAATTTATTTTATTTTTATTTTGTTTAAGAAAACTTTTTTGAAATACCAGTTATACTTAATAATATGTTCAAAATATATATCATTAAGTAAGCTACAGTTCTTTTTCCTCAGTATTTAACAAAGACAAAAACATTAAGTATATTAATAACAAAATAAATTTTAACTAATATAATAATCCTTGTATCATTTAAAACAAATAAAAACAAACTATACCAAGGAAAGCACATATCTATAATTTTAATAACATCACACTAATATATATTTTATATATTAAAAATTTATTTTGAAGATATATTTCACAAATATGTTTTTAAAACATGAAATATGATGAACTTCATATTATTCCCAGCAATATACATATTACAACAGAAAATACAATCACATATTTCAGCACTTGCTACAAATATAAAATTGGACAATCTATTACCGCTTTGAGCATGCCTGTGATTAGGGATGAATATTTTATAAGAAAAAAAATCAATCAAGGAAAAAAAAAGCATAAATAATCAGTTTACATTGGAGTAAAATTGTATGTAGTGTTCAACATATACATTATAAGATAAGTTGATAAACACAGTTTCCTATGACACTATAAAAATAGATATTATCAAGGAATATATTCAAATGTCATAAAGAGAAAAGTCCTAAAATAATAAGGGATGAATTCAATTTTCTTTTTTGTATTAAATCGACAACAACAAGAAGGAACATTGAAGTGAGAAACAGACTCTCAGAGCTGCAGGAAATTGAAGTGAGAAAATGACAAGTAAGAATCTGCATCAAACTAATATTGATATTTGAAAGTTGGAAAAACAGCAATCAATTGAAATTTTGATAATGTTTCCTCTTTTGAAAAGAAAACACTAAAATTCTTAAAGGTTGGTCCAGGATATTCTGTAATTCTATTTTTATTTCTTTCACAATAACTAATTTTTACGCAGGATTGAACTGGTGTGACTGCAACAGCCTTTCAACAGCAGCATTAATGTCCCCAAACGTAGTGATAAGAGCTACGGAAAGAAAAAAAATAACGATTAAGAAACACATACAGATAAAAATAAAATTTCCATTCAAATCAAGGTTGGCAAGTTTCTGCCGAGGTGGTTAAAACCACTGGTAGAAACCGGTTAAAACCGGTATGGCATAAACCCTTTTCTGCCACATTTGTGGTAGAAACTGGCAGAAATTCAGCAAATGACATAAAAGTAAGTACTGAGATTGACATACAATGGATAATCTATATTATATAAAACGCTAATATGTATGTATCAATAAAACCGATGATATTTCTTTTCTCGCATTGGCAACAGTTTTCATTTTTAATTGATAGGCTTCGGCGCGCAAGAGCACATAGTGAGCATCATATGGCTAATCTATATTATATAAAACGATAATATGTTTTAATTGATAGGCTTCGGCGCGCAAGAGCACATAGTGAGAATCATATGTCTAATCGGGTGAATTCTCATCGAATTATCAAAAAATTTCTCACAAAATTATCTTCATAGAAGCCGATGCTTTACATCCGGCATTCAGTACTATTTCATATTGTTTTACAACACATGGTTTTAGCCCTCTGGTGGGAAAGACTTTAAAACAAAACTTACAACAGTTACTTTTCTCAACAACTGAAATTTAGAATAGTG